AATACAATTAAAATGCACTAAATGCACTAAAATGAGGTCCAGATACCTGCACCCCGGTTCCTGTTTTGCCATAAACTAGCTGTCATTTAATTTGCTGGTTCTCAGTATCTTTAGCTGAAACATGACAATATTTGCTGAGATCATCATTCAATTTATTCCAGTCCTAAAGCAAAGATTTGGAGTCAGACTGGAATCAAACACTGCTCCCTTACTCATTAGCTATGTTTTCCTCTCAAACATGATATTTAAGCTATCCTGGGACAGACTTTGCTGTCATAGTAAAATAGGGATAATAATATAACCTTTTTCATAGTGGTTTGGTGAATAATTATATCATCAAAACACACAAAATGCCTTTCCTGACATACATGTAGCACTCAAAACATGTCAGCTATTGTTGTAATTAGGACTTAAGAAATCTCTAGCAACATATCTTCTTTTCCCTATAAGTTAAAGAGGGGCAAATTCTATGACAAGATATATAACTATATTATTAATCAGACAAAAATCATAAAATTCTATGCTTCTCTTTATTTACATTATTATGATAGCATTATAGTTCCTTTCTATATTGGTTGAATGGGATAAGAGTACTGGTACAAGAACTTAACAAAGACAGATTTTTGCTAATTGAATTCATATCTGTCTCAAATCAGTTAATTTAAGCAATTTATTCATCAAGCTACTATCTCTTTTTTTTTTTTTTTTTTTTTTTTTGAGACAGAGTCTCGCTCTGTTGTCCAGGCCACCAGAGTGCAGGGGCACAATCTTGGCTCACTGCAACGTCCACCTCCCAGGTTCAAGCAATCCTCCTGTCTCAGCCCCCTTAGTAGCTGGGATTACAGGCATGCGCCACTATGCCTGGCTAATTTTTGTATTTTTAGTAGAGACAGGGTTTCGCCATGTTGGCCAGGCTGGTCTCGAACTCCTGGCCTTAGGTGATCCACCCTCCTCGGCCTCCCAAAGTGCCGGGATTACAGGCGTGAGCCACTGTGCCCAGCCAAGCTACTGTCTTTAGATTTTCTGAAGATCCACGATTTATCAATGAAAATGAAAAACTTTTCAGAATTTTCAAAAGGGTTTTTGCTAATGGTCAGCTTTCTTTAGATGTTCTGTATTTTAATTGCTGTGAGAGTATGCTCTTATCATTGACATCTTGATACTTAGAGTGTACTGTTTTCTAAGTATAATATAATGCAGTTTATTCTATCTAATTTATTCTGTAATATCTATTTCAGACTTTCATAGTGAGTTTTATAGATATGTGTCTAATTTCCCCCTTATCATTAATTAAAGGTTACATCACAGAATGTTGGGATGTCTGCAGAAGTAAAGATCATTTCTGAAGGCTGGAACACACACATGCACACTCATACACACACATGTTAATATATACACATATACATATCAAATCTAGAGACTCATTAACTGAGACCTAAGTTCTTCCAATCCTCAAAATAGTAAATGGTTTCTCACACACACTAGGCACTCAGTAACTAACCAGTAGTTGAACTTACATGGTGGGGAGGGGCAAATATTTTTAAAAGAGGCATCAAATCAAAAAAACTACAGAAGTGGTGACTGGCAGGCAAGAAAAAAGATAATAAAAATGTAGTGTATGTAGAGATTAGAAAAAAAATGAGTGGGGCCTGCTAATTACTGATAAGGAGACAGAAAAAATACTGATAAATTATTAATGTGTGGCTTGCGATTTCACACACACAAACTATAACCTTAAGGGCCTTAATCAATCTGAAAGAAATTCTTTAACATTAATAAATACATAAATGTAAGAATTAAGAAGAGGGAGGCAATTTTTGTTTTAAGATTCTATGATAGGAGGAAGGCAGTGGATTTACTTTTTCACAGATAAAATTTTTGTACGGCCTGAACTTTAAGTGTGAGAAATTTTTCCTTTCCATTCCTTTTCCTTTTCCTTTCCTTTCCTCCCTTCTCTTTCTCTTTAGTTATTTTAAAACTTCCTAACAAAACCTAGTTTTCAAAAAGAAATAAAAGATTTTTAGGTGTTACAGTCCTTATTAGCTAGTTTCTTTAAACAAACATATTTACTTCAATAAATATGGGAAATGTTAAATTTGGGGGTGAAGTCTATCATGGATAGACCAAAGCTGAATCCAATTAGTCTCTTTCACAAAATAACTGACAGAGGGAATAGGAGAAATTAATAATTTCAGTACCTTATTGTGAGCATTTAAGTCAACTTCTTGGGAGTCTAGGCAACTGCAAAATTGGTTTGTAAGGCCTCCCTCACTCTTAACACCAAGTACAAGTTTGGAGATTCCCAAAGCCATGCTTATGACAAATAATTTGCTAGAAGGACCCATAGAACTCACAGAAGACTATTATATGTATGGTTACAGTTTATTACAGGGAAAGGATACAGGTCAAAATCAGCCAAAGGATGAAGGGCAAAGGGCAGAGTCTAGGGAAGTACGAAATCTGGAGTTTCCATAGTTCTCTCCCCACAAAGTCAGGATGTATTACTTTCCTGGTATTGACGTGTGACAGCCAACACAGCGTGTTGCCAGCCAAGGAAGCTTACTCAAGTCTCCACATTCAGAGTTTTTATTGGGGCTCCATTACATGGTATGATTCCTTGATTATCCACATGGTTGACATCAATTTCTAGGTTGACTGATACCTCGTGACTCAAAGCTGCCATCCTAAACCACCCATCTTTCTCATAGCACATTTATGACCACAAATTAAATAATAGATATAAAAGTACTTCAAAATATCCTAATTACACCACAGAGAAAACGTTTATATTAGCTTTTTTCCTATAGATTTTCTTTTAAAAACATCAGACAAGCCGTAACAGAAAAAAAAAAGGAGGCATCATGGCATAATGTAATTCAATTATAATTTTAAAAGCAGAACTTATTTTAAATTGGTTATGCATGACAAGATGACATTTTTTGCAAAATATTAATGTTAAAAATTAATAAGTAAAATGTCAGTGAAATCCATTACAATATGATGACACAAAATAACAAAAGCTATTTTTATTATACCTAGCAAAATATATTTTAATTTCGAAGAAAGAAACGACGTTATTGTACAAGATATAATGATTTCAGTTTCTATCACATCTCTTTAATGTTCATCAAAAGGGTGTCTTTGGCTATATATACTCTATTTATCTGCACTGTGGGGAAACTGTTAAGTTTTAGGAAGGAGAAGGTTGATCTGTCTGAGAAGAGGTTATACAAAAAAATAATGGGAGAAACTTCAATTTAAAAATTTAGCAGGAAAGAATCTCAAAAGAGTACATTGCCTTGAACACATGATTGAAGAGGATCTAAAACGTTATAACTCCAAGTTTCAAGTCATCCATAAAAGTATTTATTCCATGTGGTACATACACACTAGGAATACTATAAAGCCTTTTAAAAGACAAAATTATGTCTTTTGCAGCAACATGGATGCAGCTGGAGGCCATTATCCTAAGCTAATTAATACGGGAACAGAAAACCAAATACTACATGTTCTCATTTATAAATGGGAAGTAAGCATTGAGTACACATATACATAAAGATGAGAAAAACAGACATTGGGGAGTACTGGAGGGAGAAGGTAGAGAAGGGGGCAGGGGCAGAAAAACTACCTCTTGGTTACTATGCTCACTATCTGGATGATGGGATCATTTGTACTCCAAACCTGAGCATCACAGATTATACCCAAGTAATGTATTAATATACCTGCATATATACCCCTTGAATCTAAAAGAAAAGTTGAAAAAAAATTTAAATGTATTTTTCTCTGGTTAATAACATTATGTTAGAGCTAGCAACTTTGCATTATCATTCATTCCTTTAACCTGCATAGAAATCTAGTCAATGCTACAGATGATAACAGCTTACAATAGAATCTCTAAATGGAGAAGTGCCCTAGGGTGAGATATAAATAAAATGCATGGCAGAGTGGTAGAGAATACATGCATGTCTGTTTGGGTAAAAAGAAAAAAAAAATCCTGCAATGAAATGAAATGAAAGACACTCAGTGGGCTGGTATTTTGCGTTGTCTGAAGTAGCATATAGAAAGGAACGGCTTCAGAGGAAGGGCTTTTTAAGGTCTTTTTCCACTCATGGGTCCAAGACATGAAGACAACACCAACCTAGAAAGCACATTCTTTCCTGTCCAATAAATGACAGCACAAGACCCAAGCTGATATCTAGACTTTGAATTCCAAACAACACAAAGACTAAGGATTCTGTCCATTAATAATGATTACCCGGAACCCTAGGGCCACCCTGGGTACTGCTGTTTCTGAGACTAGGATTTCATTTATTCCTTCAATTTTCTAAAACACAGTCATAATATCCCAACAGATTCCAGCAGCATTCTCACTTTTGCTTAAGTAAACTAAAAGTGGTATCTCATGCCTGAAATCTAAGACCCCTGACTAAAACAGGTTCTGTATACAAGAATTACAGACAATCACAATGCTGACATCTTTGGTCAAGAACCTGTTAAGTTAACCAATGCAATTTTCTTCGCATACTTAACAAGAATCTCAGTTCTGTAAGAGGTCCAAAAGGCATATGAAGACATGGCTTCTGCCTCCAGTAAACGTTAAATATAGCCAAGGAGACAGAAATCACATAAGGAATAATCACAGAACTATGAATAACTAAATTACTAAGGTAAAAAACAAATCCAATTGTCTGGGCAATAGCAGGTCTGGAAACGGAGAGAACAAAATAGAATTTCAAAGACTTTCAAAAAGAAGAGCAGGATTGAGTATGGACTATAATCTACATAAACGGTCCCTCTCATTAGAAGTATATAGAAATGAATTTCACTGAAGAAAAATACCAGTACATACACTTAAAACTAATAAAATCCCATGATAAATGGCTTTAGAGGGATATAATGAAGTAGAAAGAAAAAGAGTTTCCATCACTGGCAGTATTCAGGTTTGCCAAAAACATTGCACATTAAAAATGCTACCTCTGCTCATCATCAGACACACTCACCTTGTCCAAAGGGCTTTTCCCCATCTTCAGAAAACAGATGAGCCTGAGGATAGCATGGAAAGGCTACAGGACAGATCCACAGGAATGAAAAGATGGAAAAGAGGACCTACAAGAGAGGAATGAAAGAGATGAGCTTGTTAAATGTAAGAAAAGAGAAGAGATATAAAAACAGCTTTAAAAAGTAGCATTTCAAATACTTCAGAAATTTGCCGTTGATCCAAAATATCAAGTCAGAAATAATGACAAATGAAAACAATTAGTATTTACTTTTAAACCATTATGTCCTGCTTTTTGAAGGTAAATAAAGCCTCTTAACTTTCCAAGAGCTTTTTTTGTATACAATTTGTTTTAACTTTCCCCTCAGACATACTTTTCTATAACTCAGGGATTTTAAGTATGGCTTGATTGAAGGATGGAACCACTTACTGGAGCATCAGTCCACAAAGGTTAAGAATAGAACAGTAAATCTGGGGAGATTAAGGAAATGTTACTTAACAGGTTTCCTCTAAATCTAAATATTGTATATGATTAAGACATACATTGATAAATAGAATTACTATATAATTTATCATCTGACCTAGGTATTCTTTTGAAAGTTACAGGGGTGATACAGTTTGTCTCTATCCCCACCCAAATCTCATCTTGAATTGTAGTTCCCATAATCCCCATGTCATGGGAAGGACCCAGTGGGAGGTAACTGAATCATAGCAGCAATTACTCCTATGCTGTTCTTGTGATAGTGAGTTCTCACAAGATCTGATGGTTTTAGAAGAGGCTTTTTTTCCCTCTTTGCTCAACAGTTCTCTCTCCTGCCACCACATGAAGAAGGACATGTTTGCTTCCCCTTCTGCCATGATTGCAAGTTTCCTGAGGCCTCCCCAGTCATGCTGAACTGTGAGTCAATTAAACTTCTTTCCTTTATAAATTACCCAGTCCCAGTATGTCTTTATTAGCAGAATGAGAATGGACTAATACAAGGTATATTATTAATAATTGCATTAGGACAAGGTGCAGACCACATGAGCATATAGTCACCTTATTGATAAGCCTCTCAGAGAAGAAGGGGGAGTAAGACCCCCAAAAAAGCATTCTAAGAGTAACAGTAGTTAGGACAGGTATGTTTTAGATGATCATTGTGCAAGTCTGGGGTGGGAGCTACATTGCTAGGGAGGAAAGGTAATTGTTCTTGTAGCCAGTCCATGTATGCCTTCCCTTCCCCCACCACAGCCTTCCCTGTCAAAATGTGTTGACCACATATTTCAAGAGTATTGACTTGGAGGGGCACCAAAAATTATTAGTTTGACTTTACAGTTTCAAAAATAAATAACGAATATTAAAAAGAAACTCTAGAAAGGCAAGACATTGTTTTCTTTAAATTTCCCATGTGCATAACTAAGCTTTTTTTCTTCTCACAAATATTTCTTTTTGAAACCCTTCTTCAACTGTGTCCTCACTGAGATTTTATGGGAAGGTGACACCCTCATCTCATTAGGCTCTTAAATCCTGAAGCTACTGAAGAAAGCCCCTTAAATATTCACAGCTATGCCAAGCAAGGCAGAGCCAGGAGGCTCTGGATATGGTCCGCATTACCTTAACCAAAGGCAACAGTTGACACTTACCTGATTTAAGCACAGTGAACTGAGATCGATGTGGGAGTTAGGGGTGGGAGGTACTGAATCATCCAGTTTGATTACATTTAGCCGCTGATGCTAGGTAATTTCCAAACCACAACTGCAGTTGTTCTTTCTAGATTTAGCCAGAGACAAAGAGACTGTGTGTGTGGAAACATGTAATTTGCCTCCATAGATAACAAAGGACTCAAAGGTCAATTTGACAGCAAAAGAAATCTCTGAGGAGAAGGTGTAAACTCCACTTGGCTCTAAAGCAAGGAAGCGATCCCCTTGTGGCGAGATCAAGATGTGATGAGACTTGCTTTTCTCATCTCTCCCCTGTGAAGAGGGAAGAAACTGAGCAATAACGGGAGCGTGCCTGACGATTAGGGTGGCAATCACCTGAGCGATAAGCAAACAAACGTGCTTCCAGCCAGAAGAAGGCACATGGCAGGGAGACCTCCGATGCCAGAAGCCTTCAATTTCACTCACTAATAGCTCTGTAGAAAATCCAAATCAGGAATGGTAGAGGTCGGGTTGCCGGCTTATGCCCTCCCTTGGTGACAGCTCCGGGCAATTTTGCCATCCAGCTGTTCTGTTTTTCAAAACTAAAGTAATTGGAATTGAACTACAGAGCTTTGCTAAAACCCTAGCAATTAACAGTGCGATTTCCCAAATTGCACTGTAATGGGAAAGTGTCCATCAATCAACCCAGTGAAATAACACATTTTCTCACCAGATGTGAGATTTAATATCTTCATAACTCTCTGGATTTACCACTTATGAACTGTCAGCCTCGCCTCGAGTATTGAGAATTAATGAACTACATCCCTGCTATGTAGGTATAGTTTACAGTCATAAAATATCCTCAACTTTGTTTCAGATATATTTACCAAAGTGTTTTTCTTTAAGATGCAATCAGAAAACATGCTAGATGGGAAAATTTCATTTCTACTTACTATGTTATATTATCATTGTTTAGATAAATACAATTCCCAGAGTCTCAGCCTAACACACTCTTGTAACGGGAATAACCCGTTTATCACCAGCAGTGAACAATAAATTGCAGTGTGAAGATGCAACAGCTTTAAGCTTTAAACTTGAGAATATCCTCTATGGTTTTCTGGATAAAGACTGAAAATATTCTAAGTTTCTAAATGTGTTATACATGTACAGTTTCTGTTGTGCATCTTGGACTGAAATGATAATTAAAATAACCTCACATATGTTCACTTTGTCACTATGATGATCAGGTAGGTAGGTCAGTTCTCATTTTTACTTTCACTCCAATCTCAAACATCTGAGCCATGGTGAGGATGAAGCTGCCTCCTGAAAGCAATCTGGGAGTATTCCTGTGATGCCAGAACCTCAAAGCTCCCAAGTTTGCAACTCATTCTTGCTTCTACCCACAGAGGGGGACAATTGTTAACAGTGAAAGTCACTCTACAGGTCTCGAATGGACTTAACTCATTTAACAAATTATTCTTTGCTGTATTTTGGGGCCTGTGTAGTAATATAAGCCGGATGTCAAGGAGACAAAGGAAAAGAGCCAGGAGAAGCTTCAGATTTGGGCATGAACAGTTGTGGTGGCATTTAGGAAAGGTTCCCTAGAGGAGACCATGTCTGAGACTGACTGTATCACAAGGGAAATATGTTGTCAGATATTGAGGTTGTCCAAATTATTAGAGTTATGTTAGAATAAAAACTCAGAGAATGTCCACATTATAAGGATATTTAGAGATCATCTATTTCATTTCTTAATTTAATAGATTCATAAAATATTCAACAAAAACTGTCAGTCATACTACTACATCAGCTGATTTAACTCACTTGGCATACATGTTATCCTAAGTAGTCTGTCATTCATTCTCAACTAATACCATTTCATTCTCCTTTCCCATATTAGTTGGCTTTAGAATATGACAGTTTTTTGGGGAGAGGGGCAAAAGAGAATATTAGAGGGCATGAAGAGATCACCTTGTCTAAATAATAAAGAAATTTGATATATCTCTGTATGATTTTTTTATATGAGAGATTAAACTCACAAAGCAATAATTATATATTAAGAAAAATTCATAGCCCACAAAGCCAGACTGATTAAATACAATTGAGATTGGTAAAAAATCAATTTAAATGATTATATGAATCCCCAATAATACAGAAATAAATTATTATTTAATAAATAGTGTTGGGTCAATGTGATAGCAATATGGAAAAAATTACTTTAGAGTCATTTCTCAACCCCACATTGTATTGTATTCCAGCTGAGACTAAAATGTTTTATTAAAAATTGGACAATAAAGAACAGTTCTTCTCTAGCAGTGGAGAGGAGATAAATTCCTGATACTAAAGAAATGGAGTGTATTAGGATCTGAACAGAGACAAGATGGATAAGCACAGATATGGAAAACTAAAGCATCCAAACTATGACAGGTTAAAAAAAAAAAAAAAAAAAAGCAACATAATGAGACCATGCAATAAATATATCATTAAAATATACTGTTACATACATACATATATAGAGTACATATATACACATGGATGTATACACACAGACATGTATCTTTGCTTCCTCTTTTTGTGATTATTCTCTGTTAGGCTTAGAGGTCTTAGTTTCTGAGGGAAGAATGCTTCCATGAGGAGCCACAGCAATGATTCCATTGAATTAGAAGTTAAGACTGCTGCCTGGCCACTCTGGACTCTTCCCGCCTTTGACTTAACAAAGAAGAGAGTTGACAAGGGGGATTGATCCTGACTATAAAAAGGAAATTGGACTATTAATCCACAATGGAGATAAGGAAGAGTATGTCTGGAATACAGGAGATCCTCTAGGGACTTTCTTAGTATTACTATGCCCTATAATTAAAGGCAATAGAAAACACAGCAATCTCATCCAAGCAGGACTAGTAATGGCTCAGACTCTTTAGGAATGAAGATTTGGGTTTGCCACACGAGGGTACTTTCTGAAGGCAAAGGGAATACAGAATAGTTTGGAAAAATGGTCATTATAAATACCAGTGACCAGTAACAGAAGCTAGGAATGTAATTGTCATGAGTATTTCCCTCCTTATTTTGCCATGAATACATTTGTAGGTCAGATATATAAGAGATACACAAGAAAGGAAAGAAACTAAAAATATTTTCTTCCCTCTCTTGTTCCCTCATCAAGTAAAATATGATTAGTTGAGTTCATATTATAGTATTTTAGTACTGTTAATTTTCTATCATAGTCTTTAAGTCACAGGATATCAAAGAGTAAATACCATTCAAGGACTTTACTTTCTCATCTAGGAATCGAATTTTCAGCTGTCTTCAGGATAGTGGTGTCATATTAGACAGAATATAGCCTTGTCATATTTCAAACATTAGGTATGGTTTAAGAAGATCTGTATGGGTGCCTAGTTGATGAAAGGTGGACTTGTGATGACTAATTTTATGTGTCAATTTGACAAATCTTTTAGATTAAACAATTTCTGGGTGTGTCTGCAGGGGTGCT